TCTTGGTCGGGTCGATAAGCCTGTCAAACAGTTGCATAGTAGCTGTTCCAGGCTTTTGAAACATCTTTACTTGCCAGGAGCCTGCTATTTGGGAAAATAGCCGTGAACCCAGGAAACTGATTTTCTTCTCAGTACTATGTACCTAGTTATCTGTGGAGTTCCTGTAGCCACATTTTGGATTCAGAAAACATGTTCTCTACTGCCAGTTCTTTTGCCTTTTCCATGAACATATTAGAGCTTTTGGAGACAGGTTTTGGAATTCCTCAGTCCACACTCTTTGCCCTCTGGATCAGCAAATATGAGGGAGGAACCAATGGATTTGCATGATGAGAGTTGGCACCCATGGGTCACATCCTAGGGACTGTGTGAAGGATGCCATGGTTACCTCAGCATCTCTCTGTTATCACTTGTCCTGACCACCTGTTGCTTCTGGGAAAGTGAGAGGAGTCTCCTTCCACTTTCTAATACTGTGGAACCTGTTCAGTGTTCCATGGGCTGTGGGATACTTGTCAGAAACCACCAGAAGCACCGAGAGAATGGCCTTGTCTTGATTATGTTATTTAGTTCCAGGATTATGATATTTCTTCTTATCCTTCCTATTTGGTGTCACTCTGTTCCATGTACCTCTTTCGTGGTATTGCTTTCTTCTGGTTGCTCAGAGCATGGGCTTTGCTTTCAGATCTGGGCGTGAATTCAAGCTCTGCCAGGTCCTAGCTGTGTGAAGTAATTTAACCTCCCTGATGCTCAGTTTCCTCATATTAAAATAATGTCCTCATCTTTAAGGTATTGTTTGTAAAGTTCTTAGCATAGTGTATTCAACTAATAATATGAGGGGGTCTTCAAAAGGTTCATGGAAAATGCATACTATGATAAAACTATGCGTGGACTGCCAACTTTTTTTGTACCAAAATAAACTCATACCAATTTGTTATAACATGTCTGGACAGGATCTAGTTTGAGGCATTAAGAAGGATAAGACATTAGTTTGAAAAGAGTCCCTATCAGAGCAACATAAATTCTGCAAAAACTGAAGCAAGAACAAATATCAAGTTTATGGTGAAGCTTGGGTGGAAGGATGGTGAATCACTGATGCTTCATGAAAAGTTTGAGGACAATGCCCTAAGGAAATCAGCAGTTTACAAAATACCTCGTTTTAATAAGGGACAAGATGATGTAGAAGATGAAGCCCACAGTGGCAGATAATCCACATCAATTTGCAAGG